ATTGTAGTTTAATAGCATAGAAATTAGGGATGCACCGAATATTCGGCCGCCGAAAATTATCGGCCGAAAATGGTTAAAAAGGCCCTTTCGGCTTTCGGCCATGCTCGCGGCTGGCTCACAGCCAACTTGTCTGCCGCTTGGAGATATTTAAAAATATCAGAGAAAGAGGCGCGGATTGCGATTTGTAAAACTTGTTCAGCTGACATTTCTCGAGGGGGTGTAACTGCAAAGACTTTCACCACTAAACACCCGGACAAATATGCGGAGTAAGATCAAATCACAAGCACTGACAGCGGGAGACTGTTCAGCGCTGCCTCTCATGTGCTTGATGAGAAGAGGAGCAGACTTATGGCTGATAAAGCAGAGAAACTACTGTTCATTAAAAAGAACCTCCCACTTTTCCTTAATAAGTAGACAAGGCTGGCTTATCATAAGCTTATCTAGTTCTACACGTCTACTCTATACCCACTTTCCTGAACAATTTTCATTGTGAGTTATAATTCACCATCTCAGGTTGTCATTAGGGGGAAATATTATATTTACTACTTTCACTTTGGAGGAATGCGCCTAACGAACATAGGAAAGCGCGGCTCTCACGTGGGCTACAGTTATGAAATTATAGCCGATTGCAGGGAACCCATAGGAACGTAGAATTAGACATTAACGCGCTCACAAAACACCGCACAGGACGATTACGGCTAGAAGACAAGCTAGTATTAACTTCACAGCAATCGGGAGACATAGAATGTCCGACCAAATTCCTCCTCTATGAAGCGCGGGCTCTTCGATTTTTGGCGACATTGCTCGGGACATTGCTATTAAACTCGATAACTCGAAAATAGATTTGCCAATTCGGAACTTTAGTCAAGATATGACTAAAGAGTTAAACGCTATAAGTCCGACAACGTTCTTGTTGTTTTTACCCCGTTTCTCTTTGTTCTGAAATTTTCTGTGTCTCGGGCCTTGTCCCTTCATTTGTGACTTCGCCTTGTACCATACTCGCGACCGTCGACAAATTTCAATTCAATTACCTTTTATTTCTACTGAAGCCTGTCACTGTCTTTTGGAGCCTGGTCACGACGGTAGTAAACTTCAATGCATCGGAGCAGCGGTCAAGTCGCAACGCTATGTGGGTCTGAGAGTCTGCAAGGCACACACGCGCGCACTTTAGGCCACACCGCGCACATAAAAAAAACGTGACTCTATAGACAAGAGAGTGCTCGTAGCGAGAGAGAGAGTCAACCCGCGCACGCCGCGCGCCTTACACTCGCGCCCGAGGACGGCCACTCCAGACGCGCTGAGGCGCGGCGCGCGCAGAGGCACTCGCCCTCGCGACACCGGCTCACATCCATAGTACGCTAACTAGTCACGCCGCTTAGTTCTTCGTCCTTCTCACGCCCCCTCCTTCTTCTTGAACGCGTATAAAACCATACCTCAAAATATGGATCAGTTTTTCCTGATCTTATCGTATCCAAATTTTACGATCCAGGCTTCGTAATGCACTACTATATATGTGGTACTTTCCGGCATAGAGAGAGGGAAAAATAGGTCACATCGTCAGGGAGCCGCGCGAGCTGTGAGTCGAGAGAGAGAGATGTCGACTCCGCGCGACGGTGTTTCTTGTTGACGAGACTTTATACTACCGCGAGATACCTGATTATGTGGTAAGTTATTTTCTCCTGATTTTATTCAGCTAATTCTTACATAGGCTTCCTACATGATATCACAGGTCATGCTTTGTAAGATAAGTCGTAGAAACAACCTGTACAGCGCTTCCAGGAGTGGTGACAATGTATATGTGTTCTAGAGTGCGGGAAGCAGCGAAAAGAGAAAAGGTGAGAGAGTGTTATCTATCCTATTTGATGTGTTTCGACGTAAGAAACTCTTGCGCTGCGAGAGATTCACGATAAGCCTTGGATTTATCAGAGTACTTATTTTGTAGACATATCTCTGGTTCATCCGAGATTCGTTGTTATTTACACAGAGTTAATCTTGCGATAATTCGTCGTTCGCCGGAAGTGTGATCTGGTATGTTTAGCGTCACATTGCGAGAGTTACAAGGGTTCTAGTTTCAGAAAACGTTGGCGTTACACAACATGTCACTACCGCCACGTTCATGCCATAGTTTCGAGGGGTTGCGCGTACTTTCCCCTCCACATAACAGATTGATCTTTTTATATTGTTAAGTTTTTCACAAAGGGCTTCCTTTAGCACGATAGGTGAATAGATTCAGCACAGCAGGAGTATCTTCCGTTTCATTCATCGCTCACCACATATTTCCTATGTATTTTCACGTTTTGACCTATGTTTTAGTGTTAGTTAATGTTTAATTTAATGGGGAAAGTTCTTCTTAGACGTTTATTCCACCAGACAGGAGCTACTCGTTACATTGTTGTAACATAGTAACAGCTATGGCTTTCATGCTTATATACTTTCAGCGCGCGCGACA